TCTCTCTCGATGCACTTCAATTCTTAATTCCTCAGATCGTTCCCGGTACTCTCTATTATAAATGAACTTGTGCCTGCTGTAATCTTGTGTGCGTTATCACCACCGAGCACGAATAGCATATCCTTGTCCAGTAGCTATAATTCTTGGCAAGAAGAGCGAGAATAGCGAAGTAGCACAGGCTTGCCCAGTAGCTATAATTCTTCTCATTCACTGAGTTGCATGTTGGGAATTCGGAATATAACAGATGAAATGTTGGGACTTTGGGACCTTAAAAATGTTGGGACTTCGGGACCTAAAAAATGTTGGGACTTTGGAACCTAAAAAATGTGGGGACTTTGTCCTTAGGGACATCCGTTAAAATTGGAACGATACAGAGAATGACGATTAGCATGGCCCCTGCGCTTTCAAGGATGACACGAGTAAGTCGAGAAATGCCCCCCCCCCCCCAAAAAAAAAAAAAAAAAAAAAAAAAAAAAAAAAGGACTTTGGGAGCTAAAGTCTGCAGATCCATCTCGACCCTGGATTCTGAAAGGTGTTTGTAGAGAGGAAGGTGATCTTACCTCACCTGATTTTGAATAGCAAGTTTTTAATACTTTTTATTGTGTTATTCTGGTGGTGGTGACCTTTGGCAGGACTTAGCTATGGCAGTGGTATTTGCCTTAGGCTACGCGGGAATAGTCTTTGAGGAGTCACTTTCATTGAACAAGAGTGCTGTGGCCTTGGTAATGGCAGTCACCCTCTGGACAATCCGAAGCATTGCGGTAAGCTTTTTGTTTTGAAATTTCTTGAAAATATTTTTTTCCTGTTTTCTAAAGAGTTTTCAATTGTCATTATTATGGCTTAAATTGTCATTATAATGGCTTAAAAAGGTACAAAAGAAGATGCTGTATAGTATATAGTATATTGGACTATATCCTAATCCTTTTTTTTTTTTTTTTTTTTTTGGCAACAACAGTCCAATTACTTATCACCGGCAAGCAGAAATCAAGTTCCAGTGGTAAAAAAGAAAGGGGTTTCAGCTTCGTAACCCCGCTGCCCGGAGGTAACCTATTTGGTCCTGTTGATTGTTATTATGCCCATAAATATTAAATTGCCTACCGCGTGGGCGTGGGGAGCCGTAAGATACCCAAAGCAATGAGACTAAGAGCGCACACCACAGAGAGAGAGAGAGAGAGAGAGAGAGAGAGAGAGAGAGAGAGAGAGAGAGAGAGAGAGAGAGAGAGAGGAAGAGGGGGGGGCTTACCAGAGAGAGAGAGACAGAGAGGGAGGGAGAGAAAGAAAGAGAGAGAGGAAGAGGGGGGGGCTTACCACAGACAAACACACACACACACACACACCTGTCTCTTATACACATCTAGATGTGTATAAGAGACAGATTCTATACACCTGCAGGGGAATTATCATGGAAGCCATATGGTGGGCAAGGAACGACCTCATCTTCAAAGGAGAAACCAGGGCCAAGAATCACATTTGCAACAGAATCCTTTCTGAACTCAGGACCACGGTGTTGTCAGACTGGAGACGCAATGATTTCATCTGGTTTGGCAAGACTTGGGCTCACAAAGGTTGCTTCGCTGTCATGACAGCAGACGGCAACATGACATTAGCCAGCTGGCTAAAGACCACTTGTTAAGAAATTAGTTGTACATCCTCCCTCTGTTTCGGTTGGTTGGTTGTTTTCCAGTTTTTTAGTCCAGTTGAAACGTTTTCCTAATGAACGGTAGTTTGTATGGGACGCTGGACCCGGTTTCCAGCTGAGCCTAAGCTGGGTAATGGCCCCAGTTTTTCCTCCGGGTTGTCATGTGGAGGTTTTCCCGGCCTCCAACTCCTTTTTTTTGGAAATAAAAGCTATCCTTCTCAAAAAAAAATAAAAAAAAAATAAATAAATCAGGAGCTGTCAGGGAAAAGGTTTTGACACCTCATCTCGAGCAAGGCTCGTTTCCACTTCAGGCCTGCAACTTGGACATTTTCAACAGTCCTCCCATCAGGATGTGGAGTTCTTGCCCGAATGTCGAAATTTAAAGTAGAACAAACCAACGGTTGTCCTATGGAGTCACGGGATTATGGCTACCTAGCACAGTGTGGTATGGATCTAGGGAGGGCCTAAGGAGTGGTAAAGGGGTCTGGGCTAAGACAGTGGGGCTACGTCTTCACCCGAATAGACCGCCCGGTCATTATATCTGTATTTGGCACAACTTTCAGCCCAGATACGGCGATAATTACCGGGCGTTCTATTCGGGTGAAGACGATAGCTAGGGACGTATTCAGTAAGGGAAACGGAGGCGTCCCTGGGGATCAATCAATTCACACAACATCGATATTGTCATTAGCACAACGACACGGCATCAGCAGCGTCGGCCCAAAGGCCTATATGCAAACTCAAGCATGATGACCCAGAGACATCGACAAGTCCGAGTCAAAAGCAGACAAGGAGGATAGAAGAAGCGAATAGGAAGACAAGGGAAGAAGAAGGGAAGAGGGAGGAGAAGAAATGACACGGCAACATCTCCCCAACGCGAGGCAGGCTCGAATTAACATAACATGAGGCACCAGCCTAAAAGGCTCAGCTTGCAAATAGGCATCACGCCCGTATGGTGTCAACCATAGCCGAGCTCCCGGCCACGACCCTACATGTTTCATCCGGAGTCGGTTCCGGAATCATCAGGGGTCTATCACGCAATGGAGTGCCTGTTGAGGTATCACGCTGAGTATTTCAACCAAGACAGACACCCAAGTTAGTAATGACAGCGCAGACCAAATCCCGGTCCCTTCTAGAAACCTCAAGCTGCACGAGTAAAGGAGCCACAAAGACATGTCACAGAGATCAAGGGATCGAATCCTACGGGACCGTTGATAGGAAAAGTCCCTTATGGAGATAGAGACCCGGTCAAAGAGGTAACGAGTTCAAGTACCAGGAACGAGCCCTCAACAGCTCAAAAAGGTCGGAAGTCCAAAAGGTACAAAGCTCGAGCCTCAAGTGAGGCCACAACACCGATACTCGCAGCATCGAAGGCCAGCGTTCTCATAGACCAACATTTCGTAGTCCAAACCTTAGGACCCAAAAAGACCCGGAGCTAGTCACCGGAACTAGGTAAGACCTCGTTCAGAAAGATGCAGAGTTCAAGACTCGAATAACGTTATGACCGCCACACCCAGTACCCAAAAGCGGATAAGGCACATTGGAAAAGAGGTAAAGGAACTTAGTCACACAAACTCATGTGACCTTTCGACCATGACAAGCAAACGACAAATCGATACAATTGACAACATCGAAGCAGTCAAACGCCGAAACAGAAGTCCAAAATCAACAAGGCTTCATTAAGAAAGCGACAACCCAAGAGAACCGCGAAAGACGGTCTCGAGAATATCTGCTATCTTCCCCCTTTCTTCCCCCGAAACTGATCCCC